AAAAAAAATTCAGCGCCGTTGGAGACAGCGGCAGTGCTGCGCACCCTTCTCTGTTTTTCCTTTTTTTTTATGTTATTTAAATTTCCGTCAGGGCTGCTGCGGCAGAACTGATAAATTTTTTTTTTATCACGGCTGGGGAAACAGCCGCAGGGCTGCATGGTTAATTATTTAAAATTTTTTTTTTTTACTTCCTCATCCGCGTTGCTTACACCGCTGTCAAAAACTTTTTTTTTCCTCTCCGCCAGGGCTGTTTGGCACGGCCGGCAGAGCTGAATAAATTTTTTTTTTTTTTTTTTGCCAGGAAGAGAGTGTTCGTTTCGGTTTCTGTTGGGCAAAGAACGGAGTTGGTGTGTGGCGGAGCAGCAGCTTGGCTTGGGAAACAGGATAAACATCGAGCTTGTTTGTGGACTCATCGTCACGATCGGTTATGGCAGGGCCGTGCAAACCCTCCCCCTTGTCCGTTAATGAGAGTGTGTCGAGTTCTATGGCGGAGGAGTTGTCTAGGCTCTTCCATCTTTCCTGGGGATCATCGATGCTGCATACATGGGCCGCGAGGTCGGGTGGTGGTGCCCTGCCAAGAAAAGAACCAGGTATATTTAGTGAGTCTCATGATCGGAAGGAAAATTCCCAGTCACACACCGAGGCAAGTAGCGGCAGGGCTGCATGGTTGATTTATTAAAATTTTTTTTTTTTACTTCCTCATCCGCGTTGCTTACACCGCTGTCAAAAACTTTTTTTTTCCTCTCCGCCAGGGCTGTTTGGCACGGCCGGCAGAGCTGAATAAATTTTTTTTTTTTTTTTTTGCCAGGAATGTTAGCGGCAGAGCAAAATTTTTTTTTTTTTTTTTTTTTTTACAACATTGTGTATCTTTCCCTATCTTCCAACGATGTTGAGAAAAGAGAACAACACCGCTTGTTATTTTGAACTATTATCAACGGTATTGTTGCTTCTTCTTAGCAATGCCGTTTGATCATATTATATAATATTTTCTCTATAACATATTAGGTGGCCTAATTTAGCCACGTTATATATTTTAATAGTAGCTAAACAAAACAGGGTTGACTTTGGCATAAACCATCCTGCCAAAAGTACACACCCACTGCCAACTCCACGGATCAAACCAAACAAGCCATCCGTGAACACCATGACTCATCCCAGGTGGCTTCACACACAACTGAGAAGGTTTGAAGTTGGTGTTGGAATTCAACTTTTCAGCTCGTCTAGCTCGAACATCTTTGTTTGAACTCCCACGAGCTCGATTTGGCTTTCCCTCAGCCATCACTTTTGGACGATGGCATGAAAAATCACTAGTGTTCTTTGCTCTCGGCATGACATTGACATTTTTTGGCATCTTCGTCTTGCCAAGTCGAACATACCGCATTACCTGCTCAGACTGGTCCGGTTTTGTCAGTGGTACCCTCTCACAATGTTGTGGGGAGTTTGAGCACCGAGACTTACGAGCTCCCTCAACACGTGTGTTGGTATTTTGTTTACCACGACCATGATCTTTGCACTTATCATACAACAACTTTGCATCTTTTGAACTCTTACGTGAGACTGGAGTTTGTTGGCCATGGTACTTGCCCCCCAATCCGCCACTCATGGCAGACTTGTTCTTCATAAGCACTGGTGTTGCAACTCCATGTCGTGCTTGACCGAACTTGCCCCCTTGTCCACTCAATAAAAACTTCGGGGATGATTTACGTGAACGATCCTGTTGAGCTATGCCCACTTTGTTGGCATTAGATTTTTCTACGTGGTTACCATCCCCACACTGCAAAGTTTTTGCGGCCATCCTTGTTTGAATTTTTCCAGAATAGGACAGATTTGGCAAACTTATTTGCCACTTGCGATGTTGTTTTTCCCGACCATGTGGTGGGATCTCATGCCCCCCTAGCGGCTTAGATTGAACAATGTTGTAAAATTTGTCATCTTTCAAGATATCACACTTGTTCTTCCTAATTTTCTGAAACTTATTATAAACACGTTTAAATTTTGTTCTTTGTTGTGGCTTTCGCAAGACCGCTCTAACTTTCCTGTCCTTCAAAACAATGGTGTTCATAGGAGAACCAACATGAGATTTGTTGGCCCCTAACGCCACTGTTTTAGCCACAAGTTTAAGTGAATCCTTATTGGCAATACCGGAAACATGTTCATCTATCATCTCAAAAAATTTATCCATATGTCTTCTAAGAGAATCACAAGGCTTATTTAAAGAGATAAAATAGAGATTTACCTGCCGGTAATACTCCTCTACAGCTCGACGAAGAGACAAGAGTGCAACATGACCATCGATGCTCGACATGGATTGTGGCCACTCCTTCATCCAACCGATATGTCTATCTGCCTCCTCTGCTCGGTCAACTTCAATGCCGACCACACGCTCCCCCTTCACAGATTCTTGTGGAAGATCAACGTTGTGTTTTCCATGCCGCAGAGCCATATTTCACTTCAAACACACGGGTCCCACCAGGTGTGCCAAAATGTTTCCCGAAAAAACCAAATGCCACCGCCGGTGCCGAATTCGTTTCCGGCGATGTTGATTCGATGTTTCGCGGTGGAAACTCTTGCGGTGCCGATTGAACGGATGCACCGCTGATAGCTGAGATCGAGACGACCGTCAAATATCCGCCGCCGAATGTCGGCGTCGTTGATTTGATCGGTGCACCTCTGAATGGTGAAATCAAATATCCACCGCCGAGCGATGTTGATTTGATCGATGCACCACCGACTTCTAACCAAGAACGACCGTTACTACGGTTCGCACCTCTCCAAACTACGTTCGAACGAGGGTGTTTGAGTTTTGAGGAATCTACGCTACCGCTACTCCTATGGAGATTCCTGTGGAGAGCTCCGCGACTACGACTACTTCTACCAACTATGGAGATCCTTCCTGGAAGGAGAGCTCCGCGAGGGAGTTACAGAGAAAAGGTAAAGTTTGACAGAGTTGTTCTGTGTTGATTTTTTGGTTCCTTCTCTCTCCTTGCTCCACTGCTTTTATTCGAAAAACAGCTTCGTAGTCTTCACGCTCGGTGGAACCGCTTCCTCAACTGCTCCGTTGTGAAATCCCACGTGTCTCAACCGCTTCGCTCCTCAAACTGCTTCGCGTGAACTTTACGTGAGTTGTTTTCATGATCTCGCGATGTCGTTTCCTTTCGCAAACAGCTCCGCTTGATTCTACCCGCGACATCGTTTAAATATTAAACGACTCCGCTTCCAGCCTTGCGGTCTCGTTTTCAACCAGCTCCGTTTGTTTTTTTTCTTCCGCGACACTGTTTATTATTAAACACTATCGTTTGCTAGTATAGCGGTACCGTTGGGCTTCCTCGCGGTACTGTTTTTAATTCCGCGGCACCGTTTTAGCTCTCCGCGGTGCCGCTTCTCCCCCTCCAACAAGAAATAAAAATAACAATAATAATAATAATAATTAAAACTCCTTTTCCAACACCAATACCAAACGCGCGGGCCCATCTTATTTTCCGGCGGTGTCGCGGTACCGCTGAGCTTCCTTGCGGTACCGCTTTTCTGTTTCGCGGTATCGTTTTAACTCTCCGCGACACCGCTCGACTCCAAACGACATCGTTTTGGCCATGCGATATCGAATTAAATGCCGAGACTCATTATTACGGCATTGAATTCAAGCCAAAATAATTTTAGGTGTAAACACTCATCCACCCACATAAAAGGATTTTCACTTTGCATTTGAATCCTACAAAAGGAGAGCTCCCCAGGCATATACAAGAGATAGATCGAAAGTCCACCAACTAAACAAATACTCTACCTTCCAGTATGACAATAGTAAAACTTTCTTCCCATATTCTCATTAGTACTATATACAAAATCTGGGACGGATGAAGAGAGAAGCCTCGATCGGAGTTTTGCAACGAGGGAGAAGAATAAGTGTTGCAGGAATAAGGTGGCGTTTATGGCAGGTTGAGAGGGTCAGATTAGGGAGGGATGTTGAACCAACCGACGAATTCGATTGACGGTATAGCTCATCATCGACGGGGAGAGGCTTAGCAGAGGGAGAGAAGAATCGATTTCCAGATTTTGTGTGACCCCGATTTTTATAACGACATTAATTTAGGAAAATAATTCGGAATTCATAATTTTTTTAAAAAAAATTGGAAAGTAAATTATATGACATGTGCAGTAACTTGCCATGTCAGATTCAACTAATAATTGACCGGACGAAATGTTGATGATTTAGCTATTAAATTTTTTCTAGTAAAAATTGACTATAAAATTGTTTAAAATAAAAGGTTGGAGGTTTATTATGAACTTGGAAAACACCATTTTTTGTTGCATAAATTTCATGAAGGATATTTGTTAACTAGATTTGTATGTATGAAGTAAAATTGACATTTACTGTCTTTATTGCTATGAGAAGATAAAGCAAATAGCGGGGATAAGTTGGTAACAAATTATGGACTTTAGAGTTCATGATTAATTCTCACCTAAAATATCGGATTTTTCAAGTCTGTAGGAGCTACAGATCTGAACTCCCAAATTTCGTGAATCTCACAAATTTATTGCTCCCAAAGTAAACAATAAAATTTGGACAAAAATGAATCCAAATCCATCAACCAAACAAGCCCTTAAATATCACCCCTTTCAGTTTCACCCCTCCCCTTCCCATCACTGTTCCAGAAGAACCAGACCCGGCTTAAACTTCAGCAGTGCAGCAAAAACAGACAACTCAGTGGTAAGGGCATTATTTGCGCATCTGCTGATTACTATTCATCAATCAACTTCATACCAAAGAGGGATTACCCAAAATTGCATACAAAATTAGAAATTTGACGCCATCTGTATACCACCACCTCCACTGTTCTTGTTTCAGTGATTCTCAGATCCCGCCTCTGCACACATCCCAGCAAAAGTGGGAAGTTAAAGCAACCACACAACTAGCATAAAGGGCGGAAGAAGAAAAGAAAAGAAGGCTTGTTCCTTCCTGATATATCATCCACAAAGACATTCTGTACAACCACATTCACAAAGTGGGATGTAAGTTTATGGACACGATGACCCAAGAATCAGCACAGAACCTCAAAAGTGAAAAAGGGAAGCAACGTGACCACCATTGCACAACAAAACAATGGCAAGAATCCATAGTCTCAATCATGATAGAGAGTGGATGAGATGCGAAGGTCATTGTCGTGTCCCCAGCAGAGCTACCAGTCCGAGTCATCGGCAGCATCAAAGGTGGTCGTGGCATCTCTGGCGAGGTAGAGATCGTTACTCGTCTGACGACGTTTTGGCTTTAGCATATTTGCTGGCAGCTCACCTGCAGGAGAGGGACGACTATGTTCCACATCCAAGTCTGATCTCACTGATCATTGCTGTGCAGATTCGAGGTTCATAAAGTACAGTCCCCTATCTCTTCAGGCATACTTGATACTTCCTGAGAAAACTGTGGTGTGGTAGTGAGAAGTGACTGAGCTGGGCTAAGTGTGATATAGATCGAGTGCTCGATTCAGATCAAACACCCTCTCAACATCTTTTCAAGTAGATTTGCCACTGACTACACAAATGAGAATATTTCTTAATACAATCCACGGCACGGTTTATCAACCTTTGCTCTTCAAACAGTAGAGTTTGATCCCGGAAGCCGGTATTTTTCTGCAGCTAATGCTTTACATTGTTGCTCACTTTCTGGTGGAACCGTGCTTCGTTTCAGATAACCACTTTGAAGGCTCAAATTCCAGATTTTGGATGCCAATCGATATACGGCATCCAAGTACACGTTGATCAGAGAGGGGAGAGACGGAGTGGTTGGTTATGGAGAGAGATGGCGTTGACATGATGATTGCAACTGGCAGGGTTGAAATGACAATGCAGTGATTGGTGGACTGGACCAAAAGGCATACACTATCAAGGCCACTGTCTTTGGCTTCTGGAGGAGCACTAACTAGAGATCATTAGTCACATCCCACAGTCATGACGTGGCTACAGTTAGCCTTTGTGTTCTCCTAGGTTCAGAATTGAAAGCTGATGCCCAGTTAAGATTCCTGGGTGAACAATGAGTCCCCAAGGCCGATAAGGGACAACTATTGGCTATTGCCCTTCTACAGAGTTCCCAGCATAAATCTCAGTTAACAAAAAGAACCTCCATGAAACTTCTGCTGAAGTTTCCCACCCCAACCATAACGAGCTAGATTAGCAAAACAATGATAAATGAAGGGAAGTTGATGAGCAAACCAGCAAGCAGATATTCACCATTTAACTCAATAAGGGTAAGATGAGTCATCTGGTAGTAAGTCGCAAGCATACTCCAACTCTGTCGGCAAAGATAGCAGCACAGCATTGCACAATATTGTGAGTCGAGTCAATTGGAGCTTTTTAAGCTAAAAGAGGGCATCCACCTATTCCGATGAATCACTAAGACAGCACCACCTACACAGCCTTCACGGGCTACATAAGGTGTCAATGGAACGTGAATGAATGTCGACCTGCTACTTCATCTTCAAGTAAGGGACTCCTATATTCTAAACAAATCACTTCGATATAATCATATGCAAATGAGTTTCCGTTCAGAAGCTCTCACCCTCAACTCAATTGCTGCTCATTGTATGCAAACGATCTCTAGCAGTGTGAACTCTACATGTAGCTGCAAACAAGTAGGCAGTACAACTACAAAGAAAATCAATGACAAAGTTCTTAACTTCTTGCCAAAGATATGAACTTCCACCCGGAAGACAAACCAAGAATTCTGCACTTATCTTATAGATTTAACTAGTTCAATCCTCGTGTGTATCAAGTATATATCAGCATTATGAGATACTAGCCAACTGTGACCCCCAATAGGCATTTGAGGATACAGGATATTACAGAGGTCTAGGGTTTCACTAGTGGTGGCGGTTGCTCTGATACGGACATGGTCTTTGCAATTAAAACGTCATACATCTAACAAACCAGCTCAAGCTAATAATAAGACGAAGCAAATACCACGAATTTGTTTGTTTATTTCACTTGGTTGGTGGCGGGAACTTCCACCGGCGTCTTGGCTACGATTGAAAGAGCATGCAGCCCGGATTGGAGCTCCTCCGCCAGCGCATCGTAAACGAGCCGGTGGCGATTCACAAGGCTGAGGCCCTCGAATTTGGGAGACACGATCTTCAAATTGAAATGAGTCTCCCCGGCGGTATTTCCCCTCATGGCAGCATGGCCTGCGTGCTGACGCGAAACGTCCTCGATCTCCAGAAGCGTCGTTTGCAAGGTCGACTGCAGCTTCATCTGAATCCTCTGCGCCCTTGACATAATCGCCGTCGCTGCTCTAGAGCCCATCCCCACTGGAACTTGCTGACGCCTTCCCGCCGCAGAAAAACAGTAAACTTTCCTCGGCCGGAGAATCGTAGCTCTTTGACGTTACTTCGATGGATTACGGCTTGTGCAGAGATTGGAGGCCTTGGCCGCCTGATGGATGGTACCCAGACTCGTCAGAATCTACTACCAATTTTCGGCCACTCTATGGGCCTTGGGTCTTGAGCGGCCTCAAGGTGCCCTGGGGCATTCTCTGAATTGGATCTTGGCCCCGTAAAATTGAATCCAGCCTTTGGACTGTAGCCCAATGTCCAAAGTAGCATAATTGATAAAAATGGTGTCGTAGGTTTGACCCAATAACAAACTGTTCAATGAAAATTGAAAGGTAATAAAATAATTGAAAGGTAATAAAATGGTCACATGAATCATGATACATATCAATATATCACTAGGTATTGTAACCCTAAATTGGGTTCGGTTCAATTATCTTATTAGAATGTGGATCTTCCGTATTTGGGAGCAGTTATAACCTTGTATGTCATTCACTGGGTGTTCCAGCGATTGTTTGAGATGGAGGTTGGTCAAAAACTTATGGATGTTGATTATGTGGTGGTGTTCTCTGTTGAGGTTGTTGAATCAGAGAACTGAAGTGGGCTAGACTAAGTTTGCGGGGAAGGCTATTCATGGACAAATCCTCCGAGCTTGTCTCGGATTCAGAAGGTAGTGAATGGGGCTTGGGAGTGTGCTCCGAAGGTGAAGGTTTTGGAGGCTGAGATGGGGTTGATTCAGTTCTTCTTTGGATGGGAAGGTGATATGAATTGGATGCTCCAACGCTCTCCTTGGACAATCAAAGATCATATTCTGCACCTACAGCCTTGGCAACTGATCACATAGAAGGTAATTGATTCCTTCATTCATGTGTCATTTTGCGTGCAGATGTGGGGCATTCCCACTCATTGTCGTAGGAGTGCATTCGGGAAACGGATGTCGAAGGCTAAGTTGGGTGAAGTTATTGATGTTGGTACCTTTGCGGTGAAAGGTAATCCCAATCACTTTATTAAGGCGATGACCAAGATTAATGCTTTGGAGCCATTAGGTTCTCCACTCTTTCCAAGTAATCTGGTGGTTGGAGAATTCCGGTTTACATTGACCTATGAATTTCTTCCGATGTTCTGTTATCACTGTGGAAGGTTGGGTCATATGGGAAAGCATTACAAATTCCTGGATCCGGTTGGTCTGAAGCACTATGGATCTTAATTGTCGACTAATATTATGGGTCATAGAGTGGAGGAGAGGGTTTGGATTAATCCATTTAAAATTCAGTGTGGATGAATCCTAATCTACAGTGAGACAAGAAGATAGAGGGTTCTGAGATGGATTGTGAGGATTTTAATGTTGTTGGTGGGGAGTCCCATCGTCCGATTGTTTTGGGATTACCCGCAGACCAAGGAAAGAATGGTGAGCCAGAGGGTCAGGTGCCTGGTAACTATGAGAAGTAGGCAGAGGCTGTGAAGAATACAAAGTACAAGGATGGGGCACATGGTAGGACAAAACCTCGTTCTGGCTCTGGTGTTGTCTTTCATCATAAAGCGCATGTCTTTCATCATAAAGCACAAGACTATGCTGGTGGTGGTAGAGGGTGGGCGTGTATGGGAGGTTCTGGGGCTGGGACGAAAGTCTAGACTTGGGGACAACGAGCAGGGCAAGTGGCTGTTGGGATTCAGAGGTTTGAATAAAATAATGGGAATACTGTGGGGTAGCCATATTGGAATCTTGATATGGAGAAAAATAAAGCCCCACTGCATCCGGATGCTGGGATTAATATTAAGAAAGGGAACCTATGGGGTCAAGTCTGATGAAGCGGTTGCAGGGAATAGTGTTGGTAACTTGCAGCAGCTGCAGAACCAAGGTGTGCCAGAGGGCAAGAAAGCCTTCAAAATGACTGCACCGAAACTGGAAGAGGCTGATGCGAGATGAGAGCAACGATGGTTGTTGTTGGCCTTCTACCAGATCCTACGCAACTAAAGAAGGGTCGAGATGAAGGTGAAAAGGATGGAGTGAGGCTGATATGACCCTTCCACTAGAAACTGGGGAGATGGTGAAGAAGGCAGGGTGGAGTGAGGCTGATTGTGGTGGTTGCAAAATAGTGGAGGCAGTCGGTTATGACAGGGGCCAAAGTTATAAAATGAGACTAGTTTCTTGGAATGTGTGGGAATAGGGTCGTCCCTCACATTTCGTGCTTTGTTAGACCTGTATAGGATGAATAATCCAGAGCTCTAGTTTCTTTTGGAAAATAGATCATCTAGGAGAGTAGTTACCCGACGTTTGCGAGGGTTAGGATTTATTTTTTTCCTAGTGGATGTTGTTGATTCAGCAGGGGGTTTAGCTTTGGGTTGGGATCCTGACATGAATGTAACAATGTAAGCTTCTTCTTCTTTTTTTATTGTGTGTGGTGTTTTGAATGAGAATAGAGATTCGCAGTATGTGGTTGTTGGTGTTTACTTGTCTTGTTGTAGTGTTAGTCATTCACAGCAGGTTCTTGAGTTGGTTACTTTTTGTGATGGCTTGCTGGTTCCTTTTGTGATGGTTGGAGACTACAATTGTGTCTTATGTGGTACAGAGAAAAGTGGGGGACTTCCATGGTCTCTTGATTCGGCTGGTCTTCGGGAATGTATGGATCATTTGGGATTGCATGATTTGGGGTATAGTGGGAGTCCCTTTACTTGGACAAATCATCATATGGGAGGTGCTTGTATTTCAGGAACGGCTTCACCGAGTTTTGGCCTCCAATTCTTGGTTAGAGTTTTCCCCCAATCCTTTGTAAGAAACTGTTCGGATTTGGGGTTGGATCATCTAGCGTTAATAGTGACGGATAAGGCATTTGTGAGAAATCGATCGCTCTTTCGATTTAACGCTAGATGGGCGGGGAATCCTGAAGCTAAATTTTTTGTCCAATATGCATGGGTTGAGGAAGTTATTGGTTCTCCGATGTTTAAACAGTGGACGAGACTAAAACATCTTTGACACTTTTTATACGATTGGAGTCGAGCTTGGATTGGGAATTCTGCAAGGAACATTTGGTCATTGCAGGATGAGATTGACGTATTGAAAGCCGAGCATCCTATGGACTGGGAGTACATTGGTAGATTTGAGGCTGAGCTATCGAGACAGTGGGAGCAGAAGAAGTATACTAGCGGCAAAAATTGAGTGTCTGATGGCTGCGAGAAGGGGATAATAAGAAGTCTTATTTTCATACTGTGACGAGGGTGCAAAATAGGCGGAATAATATCGAGGGGCTCTGAGATTTGAGGGATGAGTGAATTACGGATGAAGCAGGGAAAACTTCTGTGGTGGGATTTTACGAGTCTATGTTCCTGTCAGAATGTCAAATTCCTGATGTGAGGGATCAAGTGATGGCCTTGTCGATTGCTTCTAAGGTTTTGGTGCATGATAATTTGGATTTAACATCCCCAATTTCGGCACAGTCGATTAGGAGAGCGATGTTTCTATTGGGCCAACGCATGCGCCTGGATCGGATGGGTTTATTGGTAATTGTTTTAGAACTTAGGGTTATTATGTAATGAATGAATTTGTTAAGGTTTTGAATGAATGTGTTTGTCTAGTTGATTGGGATAACACAAACTTCATGCTCTTCAATACTCTTAACCTTAATCCCTAAATGCCTCAATTTAGCCATCATTTTATCCAAGATATTACTTACCATGTCTCGTTTCCAAGATATTACTTACATTGTGTAGCATAATTTGAGGTTTGAGGTCTGTGAGAATAATTTAATTTTATAAAAATTATAAAATAATTAATTTCAAATACGCACGTCATGTCATTTGTCAGCGACAATGAAGTCACCGAAAGTGATTTTGACAGTCTGCCGGCGAGGGAGAGCAAAGAAGACGACGAGGTGCTTTTGAGTCTCATTTTTCTTTTTCCTATTTCTATTATTTGCTGTTTCTATGGAAAAGCAAATGACTGTCAATGGAATTAATGGGAAAAAGAAAAACCGAGGAGGAATAAAAGTAGCGGAACTTTCAACCACATAAACAAAATTTAACGGAACGGCTTTTGCCATCCAATTGAGTGACTGGCCAGTTTGGACCGGTTTCATGATTACCAGGCTTGGGTAAGATGTAATACATTCAACCAGTGCTACGTCACCTTCTACGTGGATCAATCAAATATAGCGGCACCGATGCCGCACTTATAATAACAACATTGTAGTATTGTGACTTGTGTTATTAAAGCCAAACCGAGCCGCTCGGCCCGACCAATAAAACCGCCACCCGGTCAAAAAATTGACTCAGAACAGTCTAAAAGCCGCTCCGGTTTTATGTAGCGGTTGACGAGCGGCCGAGGCGGTTAACCGTTGGAGCCGATCGAGCCACTCGTCCGATTTTTGCCATTCAGCCGTTAAATTTAATTAAAAAAATTGCAGAAAATTGAAAATTGAAATAAACCAAAAACGTCGGGGTCTCAAACTGAATCCTTTTTTCCATTTCACAATTTCGAAGGAAAGAGACAAGCTCTGATTAAGAAATGTCCACTATTTGTATTGATAACGTTTATTAGGTACCGGTTCTCTAACAATTTTTAAACGATCTAATGCCGATTGGATCACTAAAGTGCGAGCTGTTCGCATAACCGGATCATACTCTGGTTCGATCTGACAATTGTAGGACGGGGCCTAAACATCAAGCTAGGGTCACATTAAAATCCACACTTTGAGTTTTGTCAAGGATTCCGATCACCAATGCCTGGCCTTACCAGTTCCTTCTGGGAGCCTGGAAGTAGTTCGGCCCAGCCCATTGAAATTTAAACCCGGACCCGCATCCAGCCTCCGCCTTCCCTAACCAATTGCCCCGCCTTCCAGAATTCTCTGGTGCTTGCTTCCATCTTTCTCACAGTCACCGTCTTTCTTAGAACTCTCTGCACCAATCTCGATTTCTCTACCTCCTTCCACCAACCTCTCAACTCCTCCATCACTCCCTTTTATAACTCTGCTCCAATGGCCGTCCTGCTATCTCAACTCAGAACTCAATATCAACGCTATACTCGAAACCCTACATTGCATTATCCTTCCAAATTCCAATTTCTCAAATCACTCCCTCCAAGCTAATCAGAGCAACCAAATTTCCTTCATTCCGACGAAGAGTCTGCAATGGCGCCCAAAACTGAAGGCAAGGCTATCGGCATTGACCTTGGCACCACCTACAGCTGTGTTGGGGTCTGGCAGAACGACAGGGTGGAGATAATCGCCAACGATCAGGGCAACCGCACCACTCCTTCGTATGTTGCCTTCACCGACACAGAGCGACTCATCGGCGATGCGGCCAAGAACCAGGTCGCCATGAACCCTCACAACACCGTCTTCGACGCTAAGCGCCTCATCGGCCGGAAATTCTCCGACCCTTCCGTACAGGCAGACATGAAGCACTGGCCGTTCAAGGTCATCCCGGGCCCCGGTGACAAGCCGATGATCATGGTCCAGCACAAAGGCGAAGAGAAGCAGTTTGCTCCGGAAGAGATTTCGTCCATGGTGCTGGTTAAAATGAGGGAAATTGCGGAGGCCTTTCTAGGTCAGACCATCAAGAACGCTGTTGTCACCGTCCCGGCCTACTTCAACGACTCGCAGAGGCAGGCGACCAAGGATGCTGGCTCAATCGCCGGTCTGAACGTTCTCCGGATCATCAACGAGCCCACCGCCGCCGCAATTGCTTACGGGCTGGACAAGAAGGGTTCGAGGAGCGGCGAGAAGAATGTTCTCATCTTCGATCTCGGTGGAGGAACTTTTGATGTCTCTCTGCTGACGATCGAGGAAGGGATCTTCGAAGTGAAGGCCACCGCCGGAGACACGCATCTGGGAGGTGAGGACTTCGACAATCGGCTGGTGAATCACTTCGTGGCGGAGTTCAAGCGGAAGAATAAGAAGGATATCAGCAGCAACGCCAGAGCTCTGAGGCGGTTGCGAACTGCCTGCGAGAGGGCGAAGAGGACTCTGTCTTCCACCTCTCAGACCACCATCGAAATTGACTCCCTCTACGAAGGTATCGACTTCTACTCCACCATTACTAGGGCTAGGTTTGAAGAATTGAACATGGATTTGTTTAGGAGGTGTATGGAGCCCGTGGAGAAGTGCCTCCGCGATGCCAAAATAGACAAGGGGCAGATAAATGATGTGGTTCTGGTTGGAGGGTCGACGAGGATTCCCAAAGTCCAGCAGCTGCTCCAGGATTTCTTCAACGGGAAGGAGCTCTGCAAGAGTATTAATCCTGATGAGGCAGTAGCTTACGGAGCAGCTGTTCAGGCGGCGATCCTGACTGGGGAAGGAGACGAGAAGGTTCAGGATTTGCTTCTCTTGGATGTTACCCCTCTCAGCTTGGGCCTCGAGACCGCCGGCGGCGTGATGACTGTTTTGATTCCAAGGAACACGACGATCCCAACCAAAAAGGAGCAAGTTTTCTCGACCTACTCGGACAACCAGCCTGGGGTTTTGATTCAGGTGTACGAAGGGGAAAGGGCGAGAACGAAAGATAACAATCTGTTGGGCACTTTCGAGCTCAAAGGCATTCCTCCCGCGCCCAGGGGAGTTCCGCAGATCAATGTGTGTTTCGACATTGATGCCAACGGTATCCTGAACGTGTCGGCGGAGGACAAGACAGCCGGAGTGAAGAACAAGATCACGATCACGAACGACAAGGGGAGGCTGAGCAAGGACGAGATTGAGAGGATGGTGCAGGAGGCAGAGAAGTACAAGGCGGAGGACGAGGAAGTGAAGAAGAAAGTTGATGCTAAGAATGCTCTGGAGAACTACGCGTATAACATGAGGAACACGGTGAAGGACGAGAAGTTTGCAGGGAAGCTGGATCCGGCTGACAAGCAGAAGATTGAGAAGGCCATTGACGATGCGATTCAGTGGCTGGAGGGGAACCAGTTGGCCGAGGTTGAAGAGTTGGAGGACAAGCTGAAGGAGTTGGAAGGACTCTGCAATCCGATCATTTCCAAGATGTATGGAGCCGGAGCCGGAGCCGGTGGTGATGTGCCGATGGGTGGTGGTTCTGGCGGGTCTGGTGCAGCAGGTGCTGGTCCTAAGATTGAGGAGGTTGACTAAATGGATGAGATTATAATCGATGGCGATGTCCATTGTCCTGTTGTCTTCGGCTGTGTTCATTAGTGTGTTGTGTTTTTGGCCATTCCTGTGGGAAGCTTGAAGTTGAAACTAAGGAGTGGTTTATTTGGATTGGTGTGAATGTTGCGAGAAAGAGTCCTTCTGTTGGTTAAGGAATTGTAAGAGCTATTCTGATTGTATGCAATAAAATTAGTCTTCTTTCAGTTCCTATTTTGCTGCATGCACTGAACCTTCTTCGGCTGGCAAGAGTCCAACTGAAGCAGGGTAAAATCTATGGACTGCAGACACCCACCATTCCTCTCCCTTGGAAAAAGAACACTAACTTGAACACCGCAATAATGTACTGTAGTTGATGCGAACCTAGCTTATAAAGCAAGTATTCTCCATGGGATGAGTGAGGGTTTGGGGAGGGAATCAAGTTCCTTCACCCTCTTTCACTCTATCAGCATGTATTGTGTTCCATTTTGTGCCAACCAATTGGAATTTGGATCCCTGAATGCACAAACCATTACCTTAATCTGGAATCGACTCTCTGACCTATATGAAATTAAACCAAGGGGGAAAAAGGTCTCTCTCTGCCAGGAATCTAGTAATCTCTAAACTAAAGGAACACTAATGCGACCCCAGAGCAGAGCAAGCATCAGATGAAGGGACCCTCCTTCAAGTGTTCTTTATTTGAACTCTTGAGCTGCATAAATGGAACTCTGAACCCAGAAAGACCAAACCCAAGTTTCCTTTTCAACACCTAGCCAGCTACCTCAACTCGAGGCACCCATCAAAACACAGATCGCCCGGCCAAGGAAAGATAAAAAGAGAGAAATGAAGATCAGAGCTGTTGTCATGGCTGCTTGGTTGCTGCTGCTAATGTTTTGTTGGGTATCAGCAGTCGATCTCAACTTGTCAAATCCATTTCCACAGTTGGCAGCAGGACAAGATCACGGTAATAGAACAAATACTCAACCCTTTTTATCCATGTTACTCCCCAGATAGAAATTCATTACAACACAGGACAGGATCATAATTTGTAACAAGCATTTATCTGGCAACGTAGATCTGAATGTGACGGAATCCGAATGGCCGCAGCGTTGTGGAGTGGTGTGTTCGTCCAGTAAAGCGTCAGGGTCAGGAGGGAAGAAGGGAGGGAAGGGAGGTGCATCCGACATTGCTCACAGGGCTCCTCCTGGAGCACACAAAAGCTACTCTGCTTCTTTATCATCACCCTATTTCTACTCCCTCCCCATATTCTCCATTGCACTCGCTCTCTGCCTTGTATTTGATCTCTCCATATGGAGCCGGTAGCGGCCTACCTTTGCACATCGCGCTGGTGTTGTCTGAACTCTCTCCCCGACCGTCTCGTCGGAAGCGGGAAGTCCATGTAGAGAGAGGTGATGTCATGATATAGGATAGGATGGTGTGTTTGTGTGCGCTTGTTCATGTGTAATAACGTTTTGAGGAGAGAAAGTGGTCTTGTATAAACTCGAGGCTGACTGGTAACGAAATGATTTGTTTCTCTGTTTAATTTTGTTGTTGAGTTTATTTTTAAGTGATATAATAATATAATGTAATGACCGGTATACTTGAGAGGAGTATAGTATACTCCAAGTGATCTGATTGTTAGATTTTTTTTTGAGCTTCGGCCAATTTCATTGGTCAATTAGTATTTTTTTTTATTAAATTGAACTTTTGGTTTGAGTTTAGAGAATCGGGGGTGAGGTTTATTCATTATAGGTTAGAATATAGTATTACACCCAAAACTCGATTTAATTTATAGAATAGATAGAGATATCTCGCTAATAGTACCTGGATATAGTATACTCCAAAAGTACATCAGTTTGAAAATAATATAAATGCTTGTTTTCATAACATTTTTTTTTTCTCGAGACACATACAACATATCATACAATAGAAAGTAACAATTGGGTGTATTTGTTTGTAATTTATTCTTAAATTTGAATTTTTTTTACTGAAAATGTGGTCTTTTGTTACAGTTTGGAGAAAAATATGTTTGGTAAAAGAAAAATATGAAGAAGACATCATATAGTTTTTCATATAAATGCAATAATGTTTCTTCTACCCCTTCTTATGGTAGTTTGGTATTGATCAACTCATATAGTTTTTTCACATGTCAAATGATCATGAATTTATAGTATGAAATTAGTACCACCAATGAACTGCAACCCAAACTTTCTCTCTTCTTTTTAAAATCTCTACTAAACAATAAGTTTAAAGACTCTAAAATCATTAAACACAAAAAAAAATTATAGAGCAAATTAAATTAAGTATCTTACTAATTCACACATACCATTTCAATTTACTAATAATATATTAGGTCAAATAAATATCAAATGTTAATCCACATACCTGACATCGGACATAATCTCTCAAGTGTCTTATAGAATATATTTCAATCGGGTTTATGAATTATTTTAGCTATGAACAAAAATATACCAAAATTGAATTAGATTGGACCAAATAAAATCAAATGAACTAAACATGTGTTTTGGCCGCCGGTTCTATCTCAATTCAAACTTATTTTGGATCGAATTGACCAATGCCCACCCCCTAGTGTTAGTAAGTGGTATATTATCGATAATTGAACATTTCTCAACAACTCAAAAACTCGAGTTATAGATACTAACTGGTTTAGGACACCTAGTACCTACTCCACTGATCTTTCTAGAAAAGATATCTATCTTTTTTCTTGATGAATGAAGCTGCTTTCATTGATAAACTTACAAAAGCGCAATCATCAATTAGAAGATCGACCGAAAACGATTTGAGTTTATTAGTCCAATTCAACCAAATTTCCAGCAATGCAGCTTGGGCAACATATGCTGTACAATACAAATCAGGCAGGACAGGAAGCAATCAGTTGAAAGCAGAGCAGCACCGTAACTTTTCGCTTGTGCATTTTCATGTCTAATGAAGACTAGTTTCACGAAATCGTCTGCATCAAATTGGGACGAACGAGAGAACTTTATCATGAACAAAAAGAAAAATCATATGTGCCAATAATCCCTTTGAGAAAAGGTTTATTAATTAATGAATTAAAACTAAATCTCATAGATGAGGGTCTTAAACAACTTCATGTGCTCTTCCTGCAACGAGATCGCCACCGACATGCTCCCGTCGCCGGTCGGGCTGGGCAGGATGAAGGACAGCCCTTCGAACGGGATCCCGCCTGGGCCCATGAAGATGGGCCGGCCCCACCCGAAGTCCGCGTCGTGGATCGGCAGCCGGGCCCAGCTCGTTATCCCGAGGTTGGGGCACTTGAACGTGTGGGCCCCGCGCACCAGCGCCGTCAGGTCCGGCTGGACATCCAAGTAATCCAGCGCCGATCTCAGGTACTCGTCGTCCATCCGGGACAGCGCGTCGTGGATCCGGCCAGCGGCGAACCAGGTCGGCTTGGTCCCCAGATCCCCCGCAGACGCCATCGGGGTCGTGGTGAAGATCACGTTGCCGAAGTAGCCCGGAGGTAGCTGGGGGCGGAGGCGGGACCGGCCGTCGGTGGCGATGTACAGCTTGGTGTCCTGGTCGCCGGCCAGCCCGCGGGCCTTGCAGGCGGACCGCCAGACGTGGCCGGCGAGCATCTCGTAGGAGCTGTAGCTGATTGTGTTCCCGGCTTCCTTGGCTTTGGCCTTGAGGGCGTTGAGCTGGTCTCTTGTCAGCTTGAAAATCGAGACGGCGGCGGCGGGGGGATCGGTGGCCGGTTTGGAAGCGGCGCCGCCAGTGGCGGCGGTGGTGGCGGAAATTTTCATCGCCGGTGGCGGCAGGTACTCGACGTGGTCGAAGGCTGGTCGGGGCGGGTCGCGGGCTCGGAGGAGGGTCCGGTCGATGAAAGGCGGCAGAGTGAGGTGGAGCCCTCGTGACATGTCGGACCATGTGTTGACGAAGTGGAGGCCGGAGAAGCCGTCGGCGGCGTGGTGTTGCATCCCGACGCCGAGTGAAACTCCGCCGCACTTAAAATATGTCACCTGAAGGAGAGAGATGTCAAGTAAATGTAAATTAATAAAAACACACTCCATTTTTTTAGGCAATTTGTCGTTTAGTACACGCACGCAAAGTCGGTTTAATTTGCATCCTAAACAAGTGTGAAAGGATGGATAGATAGTTAATTATACCTGGAGAACCAAGAGAGGATAGGTGGAGATCCCGGCGGAGTAATCCACAGCGGGGATGAGCTGCCGGAGCTCCAACGTGGGAGCAAAGTCGCCAAAATCATCAATCACCGACGTGGTCCCGGCGACGACGAAGAGAACGCCTTGGGCGTTGCAGTCGATCTCGATCCGGCCGTCTTCGTCCCTCCTGAGGCGCCCAGCCATCGGGTAAAACGGCACCAGGGCCTTAGCCAGGCCCCGTTTCATGACGGCCGGGTCGAAGAAGTCGGCGGCGGCGGTGGGGCGGTAGAAGTAGACGCTGGGAGTGTGGAACCTGGGCACCACCAGGTCAACGTTGGCGTTCCACAGCCCCAGTTTCGGCGTCTCCTCCGCCGGCCGGACCAAACTCGATTCCTTCACGTTGATGATCATCCTTAATTAATCAATCTTCCTCACAATTTTGTGTGTGTGTTTTTCTTTCTTGCTTCTCGATGGTTGGCCTGCTCCAAATATAAATTAAATAAAGATTAGTGGGCCGGGCTGGCCCAGTTTGGTAAGACGCCGGCCTGGTGCCTCACCAATAATAAAATAATAATAATAATGAAAGATTGGATCGGGGTATTAAAACAAAAAAACTGTCCTAATTATATGGTTGGTCGGGAACAGAGCGGAGGAGGGCAATCTGGTATCCACGTTAACGCTTTGATCAATTTGTACTATTATGTTATTATTGACGATAATTAACAATAACAACAATATTTTGACAAGACCAGATCAAAAGAAGATTCTGCAACAGGAAAAAAGAAAACACAAGGATGAATACAAGATGACACGTAATTTTGAAGAAAAAAAAAACACAAATGCTAATAAAAATTAGATTTGTGT